AAATACATTGGGTCATTGCACCTCCGTACATTGGGTATTTATTTTGAAACCTGACTGGTATAATCATAGACTAAGCAATACTAAGGGAGTATGTTTTATCTACGGTATAAGTGAGATTGATAAATTGTGAGTTCTTATAAGTCAGTAGAGCTATTTAAATGTTCAAATGAATCTTCTATCCCATGATGTTTATTTTTGACCCTGATAAGGCTACTTATAAATAGTTTTGTTCACATTATTTTCATAGCTTCAAAAAGTTGCGATTACAGTAGTGGACATTTACATAAATTGATTTCTAAGCTATAAAGAAAGGCATCAAGATAAGATTGTTTTCTTACTTCTAATTACTTTCTCATACCTCCCGTAATGTTTATGATCCAAATATTTGTAAAGTTTGAATGCCATGCTTTTACAGTTCAAAAATTTACCAGTACCAAGAGAAGACATAGGCTTAATGTCTCTCGAATTTTTGTATAAGTGATCCAGTCCTGAAAATCGTTCGGTTACTCTATGGGAAATTGTTTTATCAATTAGCTTAATAAGCACAGTCATAGGAACCGATATGATTAATTCGATGATAATCGATATTTACTAATTGATTGTTTATAACGATGGTTTATCAAGCTGCTCTGCTCGTGTTTCGACTTTGACTAACTTCGCCATTTACTATCGCTTCCAATAGTATATCGCTTAAACGTATTTACGAATTTAATTTAACCTCGTACACTACTTGTCTAACCACTTTCAGTATTATAATTATAATACATTTTTAGAATTTATAATATACTTATTTTCTTTATAAATTATCTTTTTGTCAAACATAATCAGTTGAAACGCGAAAAGTTGGATTTTTAAATTGTCGAGCAATAAAACAGTTAAGACCCTTCAATTGTTAAATCCCCTTGGGTCTGTTTTGCATACATTCTTCGTCGTACTCGCGGAACAAGAACGTTTATTTAGACTGGAAAACACATTTTATGGAATATAATATACTATTTAGATTACTTCCGAATTTTAAATGACTTTACAAACTTAACAAAAGCATAAAAATGAACTGCACATAAAATTAAAATTTAATTCACAGAATAATGAAAAAGATTATTATTTTACATGTGGAAAAACAATTGTGGTACGTATTTTATAAACTAGCTGGTGTACCAAATAAACGCGTAAAAAAGTAAAAATAAAAGAATTCTTTAAAATGTTCTTTTCATGTATATTTACTCTTCATTCATTTATAATAAACTCTTTTGCTTTACAAGCACATAAAGTCGTTTTATGTTTGTATAGTATTCTCATCTTGTTTTGCTTAAAACTCAAGTAGTAAATAAAATCACTTATTTAAATGTATTGTATTATTATTATGCTACAATAAGTCAATTATAAATTACTAAGCTGTTAATATCAACAAAAAGATTAAATCACCATTAAAAATTCTTTTGTGATCAAAATACTTTGCAAAGCAGATTACCACTTTTAGAGGATTGTCTGTTTTGTCATGACAACCTTAAAGACGTCATTTTCTTTCATATTTCAAAGGAATATTGCTAAACAAATTTGACTTATCTGGAAACCATATTTAGTCAAATATAACTCTTCAATGGAAGTATTGTTCGAAATCTGTGTATATGCTAGGTTTTCAATTTCTGCTAGAAAAATGATTTGTATTATAAGTTACAATTAACTCGCTTGTCTCGCTTAATAATTTAAAAGTTCAAAACCCAATTGAACAATATATATATATACTTAGATTTGTTTTATTTGCTATTAATATTTGTGTCAATTAAAATGAGTTAATTTTTTCATGAAGGTGATCTAGTTTAGGATATTTTATTACGCTTATTAAGGTACAAAAAAAAAATATGCATTTACTCAAAGAGTTTTTAACATGGATTTGAATTCACTTTTTCGCTACACTGTGACTGTTTTTTTTTTCATTAAAATTTGAGTATACCCATACACATGTTTTAAAATGAAAATACACAAAATATTGTACATTACAGAGAAGTTTGTCTATGTTTACTTTCAGAACCAATAATTTGAATTACAAACTTTATCCGTATTCAAAAAGTAAAATAACACTTTAGGTGGTACACAATAAACTTTTATTGTACCCTAATAAAAAACAAAAGACAATCTGTTCGCATTTTTATGTAATAAATTGAATAAGTATTATCTAATAAATGAGTATATAGTAATTATTGATCTCATAACTATATTGTTAATAAATATTGTAAAAATCTATAAAAAGACCATAAAAGATATTGTACTGTATAGATGTGTGTTCCCCATTTTAAAATGTTATCGTCTACAACATTGGAAACACATTATTCAGACAAGTAACTCGCTGTTGTCCGTACGCTTCGAAGGAACAGAGGAACGCGGAACGTAGGCGAGTTTTGGAACTAGGAACGGTGAACGCGGACGCACATGTGGGCCCACGTTTTCCATGTGGCTACACATTGTCGCGATGCCAATGCCATATTTTTTCTTAGCTTCGTCGAGTAATGTTTTGTTCCGGAAATAGTTCGTCTGATAGTTCATTGTATCCTTGCCGAAACAATTCGCTATTTATCTGGCTGTTTTCAAACTACTGCGGTTCAAAATACGTCGCAACAAAATTTAAAACGTTGTGTACTGGGTTTGTTCCAACTTTTCCTTTTACTATTTTTTATAAATATGTGTCCCATTTTCTGTGATGATGTGCTGTAATGAGACTTGTTTGATAATATTTCTTATCTGATTTTCCACGATTTGTTAGGGTACATCAGAAATAGAGATAATTTTCCCCTGCATCGGTATTTACTTCCTGTACTGTATAGCCGTCATCATTAAAGACGGTGGCTTTTAACGACTGTTTTTCTCTCGTTAACAACATTGGTGTGCAATCCTACGCATTTGTAAAAGAAATTGAGTGTTTGTCAAAACACGTTTGTTTTGTAGCGAGATTTAGCTAACCCGTCAGTCACATAGTATTATTTCTGTGATAACAATGCCTAGTTTTTATTTTTATGAAATTGTAGCTTAATTGAAAAAAAAGGTTGAAAACTATAATATCCATGTCAAGAATAATATTTTACAACACATTTCTATACAAGTCCTTCAATAGAAATAGAAATCTCAATAACAGGAAATGTAATGAAGACAAAAATGTTAGCTTTGCCTCACCAATTCAAACGGGTCTGAGGTAACAAAGGTTTATGAGACATGAAGAAACGTCACATTAGTAAGGGAAACTTTTGTTCATATACAAAGGAGGACTTGAAACTGTGTCCCCAACGAGTGTTTATGGGTTTCCGATTCATCCATTACAATTCGCCTCCAGGCATTGTCGGGGGTGCGATCTATAGGGCTGTCGATACTACATCATGATTAATATCTCTCCTACTCCCGATATCAAACAACTTTTCCAACTTATTTCCAGCTTTCGACGATTGTTTCCCGTCCTTTCAACTTCTCTTTAAAAAATACTTACGGTTAAATATCTTGAATAGCACCCAAAATATATTAAAACTTTCTGAGTTTTGCCAGCTATTGATAATTGTTTATAGCAGATAAACACCTCCCAAAAATAATGCTATACTAATCTAAATTGGAAATGATGTGATCGAAAGTACCAAGATTACAAGTCAAATTAGCGTCAATCCTACTAAAATCGTTTCTGAGGTAACATAGTTAAAAAAGCGTAATGTAACCTGGAATGAAACTGAGTATTAATGGTGGCTAATCCTTCCTTGAAATAAATTAATTTCAGTGACGTATAAAGAGAAAGAACCACCAAAGCAATTTATTGAGTGCAACTGAAGTACTTTAAAGAAACCGGGAAGTTAATTAAATTGAAATTGATCCTTTGCATGCAATATCGTTTTAAGATTGCTTCGAATTAACTTTTTAAAAGAGGAAAAAGGTCAATAATTTGTAAAAGCTTTTAGATATTGAACTTCAGACCAACAAGAGGGAAAATATTTCATACTTTGATTTACATCCTAAGCTGGTTTCTATTTAAAGGTGCTTTTCAAGACTTTTCATATTGATTCTTTTGACGTTTTTAAAACTTGTTCATATTACATTTTTGTCAAGTTATAATGTTAAGAGTACTTTTTTACTGCTCCGATGCAGATTTTTGGTAAATCTTATTGAAAGGTTACTTTTATAACTTACTTCAGAATTATGATAGTACTGTATTAAAATTTTCTTACGAATTAGTCAAATTGACAAAGTAAGGATAATATTTTACTTCAAAATAAAAGTAAGAGTGTAAAGCTTAATAATCTGTAATACGATGAATTACGCATTGAATATATTACTGACTTGTTTTTTTTTTATTTTAAAAGATTATTTAACATATATTTTAAGCTATCTCATAAAAATTATAACATAGTGCTTCGTGATGTGCCTTTCGGGTAGTTATCAACAAAAACTTTGTTGCTGAAAAGTTGTTATATATTTTCACTAATTGATGACAACAATTTGAAGTGGTTTTGCTATTTTGGATATTGTCAGTTAGCGTAAAGGTTCAAACACCAAAAGTAGAAAATTCCGAACTTAGGACTAGATTACAATGAGCCCTTCATAATATTGTCCACGAATTTAGGACAAAAACACTGAAAAAGTATTTTATTCTTGAATTGGCAATTAGTTTGTCTCGTGTACAGTAACAAAGCATTAAACAAAGCAAACATTTACATTATTTGCAAATATTGTAAATATCAGTTAGTAGAATATTAAACTCTGCCCTTTAATTGCACCCAAAATATCTATTTCCAAAACATATCAAAGGTTGTACCCAATTCTGCGTTTAATTTTGTAAACATTTATAAAAATGTATCTTTAGAATGGGATTCTACTACATATGGTATATTCTATTACATAAAAATTACTAATAGATAAATATATGTAGATTTGGCAACATCCAACCAACAAAGAGCAAAAAGGTTTAAAAAATGCATAAATGTATTACGGTTATGTATGCATATGTACTTAAAATGAAAATGATTTACCTGTGTACAAAATGCGAGGTGAGAGTGACGAAGAGTTAGCCTAGAGACACATGGGCGTGACACTCCGTAGCATCGCGCCGCGACAACTGAATAGAGCGTCACAATCCCCCCCTTGCTTACCCCCCCATTAGCCCCCTCGATGCCTCCCCTGACACCCCAACACCCCTCGCACTTGGCCTAGGTCCTGCGCGTCTCCCGCTACATTTACTCAACCATGATTAATTCTAACCCCACCAAGGCACGGCTTAGTCAACAAAGTTTCTGTTAACCTAAGTTCTTTACCTTTACGACGGAAGTAGGTGAAAATTGAACAGATTTTTAATAAAGAGTAGATATTTTTAGAGATGATTTGAAGCTATGCAAGGCCTAACTAATAAATCTTCCTTAATTTTAGGCTATTTTTTTTATTTTGGGCAATAGTTTTTAATAGCAGACTTAAAAAATGAGTTTATATAGCTCGTTAAGAAATTGAACTCAATTAAAAAGTTTGATTTGTACCAATATTATTTTAAAAAAGAACTTCACCTCCTAAATAAAAAAAATTTTATTTTACATTTGCGTACATACATTCTACCAAAATGTTTTTTTAGGATCTCGTACATTGAATTGTGTAACATGATTTTTGGATTTTTTCTGAATCTTTTTTGTTTAAACCTGATATACTTTTTTCCTCATAAAACTTTTAAAAATGTAGTAACCTAATAAACATGCTTATAATAATTTGGTAGATTGTATTTGTTTTAACTTATTGATTACGGAAGTAGCAAACTAAAAAATAACATTTCTTGTTAAAATTTCGTAAAGGGAGATCTAGAGATTAACATCACCCTTCTGTTATTAGATCCTTTTTGTTAACAAAAAGCTGAAAAGATTGCTCTTAACCTTTAGATGAAGACATTAAAACTGAAGATTGCATTTTATGGGGCGTGAGTTTCAACCCTAGTCCCCAAAACAGACGTCCTGCGATCTATTAGTCAGTCTAGAATAATATTTTCTCATACAGGAGAATTTGTTCACAATTGCAGTGGAAGCTTTGTCCGACAATCTTCCAAATTAAATTGATGATGCAGAAAGTTTTCATAATTCTTTCATCACTTATTTAAAAAAAAAATATTCCTTGAATATTGTGCTATTGTAACTTGTGTGTAAAATCATATCGTCTTGATAGAACAAAATTGTATTCATTGATGTGTATGTGATATATAGTAAAACTCCCTTACAAACAGAAATTATTTTAGACAGTTAAAATAAATATAACATTTAAGAACAAATCTTGGTGGTTATATGCAATTTAGTTTATTTATTATTTTATAACTTTTATGTCTTAGCAAATATCAAACTTGGCGAAATGAGAGAACCCTGGCAAAGCTGTAAAGTTGGAGCAGAAAATTAACTTTAGCATCTTACCGTGCTATAATAAGCTGTTTCACAGGCTATAAATGTTCATTAATATTTCAAAAGTACTTGAGAGTGCTACATTTTCATCCTACTAAAAATAAATGTCGTAAATATAAATGGCGGGAAGAAATAACTGGGGCTACAATGTATTACATGCATCCGGCTTGGAATCTTGGGAATCTTGGTTAAAACGTAATATTAATAAACTAGTGTCCCTGTTGCTCGAATTCGAGCAATTTCTAAGTATTTGAGGCGTTGTTTTAAAAAGAATAACGTTCATAATTTCTGATGACTTTAAAAATATTCAAGATGTACATAACAGAATATATCAATTTATCCAGGCTCTCTCGCTTTTTTCCATTGTAATATTTACAGTAAATATTTCATTTCAGCCAAGTCAGTAAATGCTTGTAGCAAACTCAAACTGTAAAATTAGAAAACTTATTGACTGTTTAAAATTAACATATGTTCTTCTTCTCACTTTTAATTTCTGACAACAGCTGGAGTTGCATAACAATTTTTGTTTCCCATGTTAATATTTTGGAGAATTACGAAACTTAAAAGGGTCCTAGGGCCTCACTCTCTGATTATTTCCCTAAAAAGAAAGTTTCGTGCACAACTTCACGTTACGCTCTTTCCAAAGACACCAAAAACATGTCACTCGGTTCAGTAGTTTCGGAGGAGTAATTGTCACAAAAAACCTGCTTGCGTATTAAATAAGTATAGATAGATAACAAATTAAAATAAAAATCAGTTTAAAGTTATTTTGCTAATTTACTGTTTCTAACAGCTGTTCTCATGCTAACTATTTTATATCTTGTTTACTTTTGTTCAGTTGAAGAAATACAGTCCACTAAGAAACATTATCTAGTTTTTTTTCTCTATTTATCTATCTTCATCTACATTTTAATCGAAGTTCATTCATCTATCTAAATTCTTTAATCAAAATCCTACTAAGCTCTAAGAAGAATCATAAGTTATCATGATGATTACATGATCACATGATGATCACATAATCACATTATCATGATGATCACAATAATATTAAATATTACTGATGATGATGAAATCCTATTAATAGTCTACGATACGTAAACAAAATTCATAGTGTCAACATTGATTGGAACATTATCATAGTTTACATTCTTGTTAGCACACACTGGCTAACACTGCCTTGCAGTGTACAAATAAATCTAACTTTTCAGTTTATCGCCTTTATTTAACTTGTTATAGCCTTACAATAACCTTTTTACTTAAATATGTGTTAGGTAAACAATAACAATACTTGTAAAAATAGTTAAATAACCTAAAATTTGTAAATGTACCACAAATTGTTAGTACAAAAATATCACTGTAAATGGATTGATGTTATAAACCGTATAACAACATTTTGCAGTTACCTACTATGTTTTCATCACTAAAAAATAGTCAAAATAATCCTCATTAAGTGCTCTTCCGTGGAATTAACTACTCTCTAATACAAAAAGCTCACTAAAGAGGCACTTTATAGTTACGGTAACAAACTAGTTAAGGACTTGGAGTTAATGTTATGTTAATGTAAACGATAATGGGGCAACCAGCCTGTGATGTTAATGAACTGTTAATGTTAAACTGTTCCATCGTGTTTTTGTCTTTTGACCTGGATTTTAAACTTTGCGTGAACAGAGGTTATATTAATCAGAAGCTAAATAGTAAGTATTTAAGAAACCAATACATCTTAAGTGTTTTATTATGTTTTGTCTATGTGGGATAGTAAAACAATTATTAGCTTCTCTTCATAACAAATTAGCTAAAGCCAATTATAAAAGGTGATATTGAAGTAGATCAACTTTTATTAAATACTTGCTAAATGAACCTCAAGGCATTTAGGACTGAATTAAGGTAGTTGTATGCATTAGGAGAGAAATCTAAATAGCTTTTACTTTATTACTTTCCAGAATGATAGTTTAATTTAATCGTTAGTACTATTGACCTCTTTCTCTTGTAAATTTTGAACATTAGGATTTATTCGGGTTTGTAATTAACCATTACTACTGAATACGAAGAACTATTATCAGTAGGCTATGTGGGCTATGTTGTAGGCTCTGTTCATTTATAGTTGGTGAAATTGATGTACCTCAAACCCAATTTATTTTTAAGACGACGAAAGGAAGTCATACTTTAGAAGCAGAATTAGACACTATTATACATATATTTTGAAATTGGAATGTGTATTTTTTCAGAATGATATGACATTTATTGTAATTAATTTTGAATAGAATGAGCCCAATAGACCTTGATTTACAATTACATGAAAACTAATTGTAATTACTTCCTCCAAGCAATTTCTATGTTGTAATTGCTGTTGGTAAACTAATTACTGTTACTATCAAACTAGTCTAGTCTGTTTTATTACAACAGCATAATTTACGGTTAACTGTCGACTTTTATAACTAAAGTGCATTAAACTCGTTTAACTAATGTTTTAATCTAGTTAATAGCATTAGCTAATGTTTGTGGTAGGTTTTAGTTTGATAACTATGGCTGATGGCTTTAATGCTTCATTTATTGATGATTTAAAATGTAAAAATTCACTTCATATGTCTGTGATATAATTTTGGTTTGCGTATGCTGCATAAGATTTAATAAAGATTACAGTTTTGCACAAAGATTTGTCATTGACAAAAGCATCAATATCTAACATTTGAACAGTCAGTGAAGATAGTCATCTGATGATATTGAAGTTTAGGAATCGAAGCTGAAAGCAAAAAACTTCTCTTATTTAGGATTATTACATGTTCACTTAAAATTAAGTTACACAATCGGTTGACACTAGACTAGTCTATTATAACTACTTCCGTTTTATAATAATAAAAAAATATTTAATCAAGATAAACTAAATTTTGTGAATACATAAACTAATCAGCGTAAAGATTTTAATGAAATCAAACGTGTTTAATACTCACTGTGAAAATGTGGAAAACCCCTTCAGTAAGTTGTTGAATGAGTTGAGTATTATATTTGTATATTTGTAATAACTCAACTACTTCGATAGTAACACGAATTTTAAAGTACTGCCATAAATAGACAATTCAAAGTAATTAGTCTGCTGAAATACATTTGGACCAAGTATTAAGACTGTCTTGACTGCATTCCAAGTTTGTCTGCTAACCAATTTGAATATGGCTCTAAGATTGAGGAAGTGAATTGTGCTTTACTTGAATTTGTGTGTAAAATATGTTTTGAGAGATAGTTTTTGAGATCGTAGCTAGTGTAATATAGCTTTTGTATGAATACTATATGATACCCCCTGTGTGAAAAAGTTTGGTCAATTGCTTGACACTAGTTAGTGGCGTACACTGCCGTGAAGTGACGTCATAGACTACATATACAACACGATGGTGACGTCACATGTTATCTGTAGTCAGTGGAGCGTGTAATCTAACCACTGCACTGGTTCCATGTGAAATCACAAGTTCATGCTAGATATCATCGGAACGGTAAATCTCAGTTATACTCGTACCTTTATGAAAATACATTTTTAAGCCAGTTTACATGTACTTGTTCCTCTTTACCAACAAATAATAAATCAGTATATATATTAAATACCCATTCGGAAATTAATAATAGACAATACAAGCTCATATTATTTTAAAAAAGGTATCTAATAAAGTTTACAACAGTAGTTGAGCTGCCTTAAGCA